ATTTTCAAAGGAGTGTTTAAAAATAAATGAAAAAAAATAGAACAGTAAATGAGAAAAAGTTTTAAAAAATATTCAATGGATTGAATATAACAATTGTGATAAAGCATTTTCATAATTATTAACAATGTTTCACAATTTTTCAGTTTATACAGAATAATATCTTTACATTAAAATTTGCCATAAGTGTCACTTATAATTGTAAGTGTGAGTAGTATATATTAACATGTTCAATTATAAGAATAATAGAAATTAGTGACTCAAGGGAGATAACAAAAAATACAAGTTAAGTCACCTTAAACATTATAAATGTCATGATTGTATACTCTAGTTCTAAGTATACTAATTTTACCATAAAGTTTCTATATAATATAAATTGTCATCAATATTTCTTATTATTATAAAATAGTAATGTATAAACATATTCTATGACAGAAATAATTGGACATATTGATTCAAGGGAGATAAAAAAAAAAACAAAAACAAAAAAACATTGAGTCACTTTAAATATAAGTAGTTAAATTATTTCTTATTTCTAGATTTAAATTTGTATAATTTTATAGTTACTAGTTCAGAGATGTCAAAAAAAGATTCATATAAGTTATGTTGTCCATTTATTCCCGCTTGCTTACAAGTCTTTTTTAAAAGTAGAAAAGGTTCTAAAGACATGTACAAAATACTCATTAGTAACAATGAGACTCCAACAGGACAACTGAAGTGGGGTGAAATATTAGGCGAAGATCTCATTTGGAAACATATATTCAAACTACCGTTTACAGTCACTGCCAATACTAAACTACAGTGGCTTCAGTACAGAATCAACCACAGAATTCTTGCCACAAATAAATTTTTATGTAAAATCAAACTTATATCAGTGTTCTCCCCAGGCCGTTTTAGCGTCGCGGTACCGCGACGCTATATTTTATCCCGTGATGCTATAATAATTTCCGCGACGCTATAATTATTTTGAGGATGCTATTTTTCTTGTTTCTATATCGTAAATCCATGTCCTAAATTTTGAACTTTCATCTAATTACCGCGTATGATCATAAAAATTATATCAACTTTAAGTGTAATCCCTTCAAATCGGACAATAGAGGCATTTAAGAGTGATTAAATAGGTGTTAATTGCCCTTTGGGTGATAACTGTTTGGATACGAATACCCCAAGCTGACACTTGTGACATGATTAATACCACCAGAGACACACTGTATTATATGTCTCTGATACCACGTGGTCTGTCTGCAATCGCAAATTAAGACATGGAAAAAATGTAATCATAAAACAATTCGAAATCTACGTTTTGCATTACGGAAATTCAAAGATACAAACGATTTTTCTCTTTAAAATGAGGTTTGGTCGTTTATTTTTACAACTTTCATAAAATTACTTTCTTTCTCTTCCGCCGGTACTACTTGTTAATCGAGAGCGAACATATCGGTTTTGGGCTAAATAAGTTGGCTTAAGTTTATGTTTCATCCATTTAATACATCAAAAGCGTCACATTCGTTCCCAATCTCTTGTCAAACATTGTTTATTTTCGTTAATTTTTCTTCGGCCGCCAATGACTACTTTTGAGTAAACTACCGATCGGAACCGGACCAGATATGACAAAAATCCGCATTTTTACGATAATAACTACAGATGCACAAATGGCACAGCAGACAGAAAAAAATATACCAAAAAGAGAAAACTATGCATTAACAGACTATTTGTTAGATAACTTTGTTAAAAATATCTATCACCTTGATATACAGAAACAACTGGGACTAATTCATTGAGTACCATGAAACAATGAATTTTTAGACATGGAAATTTTTTTTTAATTGAAATTTTATTGCTATATGATACTTTCTCTTTTTTTACTTGATATTTAGTATTGTATATATATAAAGGTTGCACTATAATAAACCATTCACTCATTCATTTAGTTGGGTAGGTAGGGTAACTAGAACCAGAGACATATATTGTATTATATGTCTCTGCTAGAACCACACATATATTGTTATATGGCCCAAGAGGAAAACAATAATTCTGTTCAGTAACTATAAATGAATATAGAAAACATAAACTGAAACAACTGTTATCATGGTTATATTTTAATTGTATTCTCAGTTATGAATTGAACAATATAAACATATATACCATAAAGGAAATAGAGTATCACCGCGACGCGACAAATGACATTGAAAAAAATACAGTTTATTTTTTTTACGCCAAATGTGATGCTATCCAAAATATCTGGGGAGAACACTGTTATTGATAACCCTCTATGTACTTTTTGTAAATTGGAAGATGAAACTGTTGAACATATTCTATGGAATTGTGAGATTATCCAAAATTGTTTACAAGATATTGATTATTGGTTTTTATCTGGTGGGGTAAGCCTGCCATTGAATAAGTTAAATTTTATTTTTGGAGTATATCAAAAGTTCGAAAAGGTGACCCATATAATTTGATTTTTCTATACATGAAACAATATATATACAACAGTAGATGTTTTTTCAAAAGATATTTCACTCAGTGCCATTAAAGAAAAGCTAAAATATATGTACAATTTAGAAAAAATAATGGCAGTCAAAAATAAGAGACAAGAGCACTTTGATACCATGTGGAATGCATTTAAAGAGTTATTTTTATAGCTCAATTTGTCATTTATTATTTACAGATAATTATTGTCAAAACTAACATAATATATTATTGTATCTAAAAGCACAACTTATTATGTACTGAAAATCTTACAGGATATTTTAACCTCTTCCTTTTTCATAAAATACTTTAGCCTTCTCATGTGCCACATAGTGGTACATGTACATAAACATTTAACTCAAATTATCTTTTCTATTTATGTTCTCTTTTCATATAAATATAAAACTGAATTTTCAACAATGTTTATTGTCATAAATTTAATAAATATATATTCAAATGTATTGCTAATATTACTGTATGCATGTTTGATGTGTTGTATTTGTTGTAATTTTTCAAAATAATAAAAATAAAAATAAAATGTTGTAATTAGATCTTTGAATATAGTTTACATTGGCACAAATATCGATTTTGTCATCAGCAAATTAAAACATAACTAAATTTGTATTCTTTTCTAACGTTTTTTTTGGGATGTATAAATACACATCCATGTTCATTTTCTATATAGAGATTACTCTATCTATATATATATATATTACATTATACATATTTATTAACAGGTTACCTCCTAACTATCTTACTGCCTGTCTATACTTTTATTTTGGCATTGCACAAGTCAAGTCTTCTTTGAATGTCCATGACGTTAAAACACTAAATTCCTGGGATGTGTTTTAGTTTATCTTAGTCTCTGATGCATGATCTTTTATTATTAATTGTTTTTGGCTTTTAACTAGCTTTCAGTAACTGCGAGTACTCTCAAATCGTACTTTCGTGTTAATTTGACCTGTTGATACAATTTGTAATGTATTTTTGTTATTCAATGTTTACTTATTCAGTGTTATATCTAGTCTCACTATTTTTAATATATACCCACTTTGATAAGTGTTTAGTATGATGATAAATTTTCACTTTTGTTCTCGTACTAGGAACAACAAAATTATTTATTTTGTAAAAATTATTTATGTACTCCATGTATAAATTACAACATACTTATTTTTATTTACCTGTGTACTTTATTTTATTTGGCGGCATTTTGTCCAAGGTGATGGTTGTCTTTCTGATATTGTTTTAAATCTAAATCCCTTGTTTTATTAATTTTGTATTTACATTGTGTTATAGATCAAATTTATTCGTTCAGTGTATGTTCACTTGTTTTTTGTTTATATGTCTTTTGATTGAGTTAAGCCATTTCAATTGATATTTTATAGTGTGTTTTTCTATGTTGTGATGTTACACTACTGTTTCAGGTAGGGTGAAGGCTGGCACCTATTTAAATGTTTAAACCCGCTGCATTTGTTTGCACCTGTCCTCAGTCAGGAACCTGATGTTCAGTGGTTGTCGTTTGTTGATGTGGTTCATAAGTGATTCTCGTTTCTCGTTTCTCATTTTTTATATAGATTAGACAGTTGGTTTTCCTGATTGAATGGTTTCACACTAGTCATTTTTGGGGCCCTTTATAGCTTGCTGTTCGGTGTGAGCCAAGGCTCTGTGTTGAAGACCGTACTTTGACCTATAATGGTTTACTTATACAAATTGTGACTTGGATGGAGTGTTGTCTCAATGGCACTCATACCACATCTTCTTATATCTATTGTATGTTTTTTAAATTTAAGTTCATTTATGTCAGTCAGGGATATAACTCTATAGGGTTATTACAGAAAATAACTTGCATGTGTTATTACAGATACTTTCATGAGTTGTCTACTCTTTAATCCTTAAATTTTCTAAATCTGTAATAACATATATATGTTTGTTATTTGTAAAATAAATCATAAATATTTTGATTTTCAGTAGGCTCTAGCTATAGGGAACTCTTGAAACTTTGCACAGAAACTAAATGCATAGCCTTGATAACTAATTTTTGAATTAAATTAATACATTTTTCATTAACCATGGGAAATCAATGAGACAAGGCTTTTAAGGGATAAACTTAGCTGTAATAACAAGTCTTAGTTATTAAAGGCATTTAACTTGTTATATAAGACACTTGGGAATTACTGGGAAGCTTGTGCAGAACCTCATTACATGCTCTGATCATTTATTTATAGTGCAATGATGGCGTGGATCATTTCACGATGGCGGAAGATAATTTAACAATTGCCAGGATCATTAGATGATGACGGAAGATAAATTTAGCGATGGTGGTGCACCGTCATGAACCAGGTCATGGAGATCCCCTATGTTATCAAACACCAGGTGTGCACAGGGAAAATATGAAACAACTAACAAGCCATACCAAATTTTGTCCAAATTTATATAAAAAATAATTGAGTGATACTTTTTTAAATTGCTGCTGATACAGAATTCTTCCTCTCTCATCGGTTACACCTCTCTCACACTAATAAACTTATACAAACCTCGCAGGTCTTCTATCTGACATTTTGCATTTTGTTTACAAAATTCCAATTTCCCTCCTCATACGCCGGAACTGGAAATCTGTCATTGTTTCGAATCACAAAATATTACACAATTACAATTTTTCGTTTGATTGAAAAATGAATTCGTTCTTTAAAATCATTTATTGTTTTATCAACTATGTATACTTAATCTTTATTAACCACTAACTTTAAGATATTTTCGAATCCGAGTAGAAGCACTCGGACGTGGTCAAACTTTGTTTTGAAGACCGATGTCGGTGTCCACTGATTATTTAGGCAGTTCTGAAAACAGTCAAAATAGGAGCCTGTTTCAACAACACTAACAGACCAAATGTTCCTCACTTTTATTTGATGAAGGTGTGTAAAACAAAAAAGCCTTTAAAAGGGGTTCGGTAAAGCAAAAAGGAGGGGGAGGGGCGGATCTGTGTCAGAGCAAGAGGGTTTGACAGTTTCAGCAATATTTCTATGCCTGTATCTGCATGAATGTAGCTCTTAACGCACACTAGTTAGTGTCTTCTAGATGGTTCCATTTCAATCTCCTTTTTCAAAAAAATTGTTTTGAATACTGACTTTTTTCTGTTCTCTTTTGCTTCTTGAAATGACAAGACACTTTATAATAGAGGTTGGTCAATATTAAAAGTCTCTAATCGTATCTAATACATTGATGCAAAGGTATCTGGAGATCAAGGCTTCCAAAACGGTAATATATTCCGGACATTTGTATTATGTCCGGTAAAAGTTCGGCTGGGCAAAGCATGAAACGGTCATCTACTTTTTAGTTTTCAAAGGTTTTTTTAAGAGACGGTCATTTTAACATAATTCGTGATCTTTTTGACCCAACCTTTTACCTTTGTCAGCCACACATTTCCGGTCATAAAAGTGACATGATCATTAAGTACTATCAAAACAACCCCTACTTTAATACCTTCTCATTTTAATCAAGGCTAATAAGTTGTCGAACAGCTGAAATTTACCTGTTCAGATGACAGGTAAACTATTTTGAACCGGACATTGATCGGTCTATTCAAAGTTATTTACTTACATTTCAGCGGTTTGCATCTAATTAATTTAGTCAAAAATATTTTAGTTATCAGAAATACGTTTACTAATATTTTTAATTATTAATTAGTCAAAATTAATTTAGTCAAAAATATTTTAGTTATCAGAAATACGTTTACTAATATTTTTAAGGAAATTGTTCTTTACCATTGTTAAATGAAATTTTTCAAATCTTAATTATGCTATGAATATATTTCTGGGCACCTTCAACAGCTTTTTTTCACAGGAATTATTTAACATGTTTAAGCATCTTTTTTTTTTACAATAAAATTTGTTTTTAATGACTTTTATCAATGTTTATTTACATGTGATGGTTTTATAAAAATACAAACATAATACAACAAAAATATCCTTATATGTTACTCAATAAATGTATAAACATGGCAGTACATAAATTTTTCTGCAAATGCAGGGAAGACATACACTTCTAACTATTATTCCACTTTCACAGTTATTTTTTTATTTCCAGATGTTCATGAAAATTTGAAAATGTTCATCTTACCATTAATGGATAATGAATCAGAAAAAAGGGTAAGAATTTTTATATCAATTATACCCTAGGACAAAATGGAGGTGAAATCAAGTTATTTGGATAAGCCCATACATATAGGCTAGCTAAAACTAGTTCAAAATGTTACCGAAGCCATTAAAGATATTTTTGGGCTGTCTCTTGATCTTAAAAATACTTTTACATTTGTTCCTCAAAAGCTTATCCATATGCAATGTTGTATTCAGTCATTATCCTTTGAAGGAAAAAAATATGGATAATAACTGCCAATTAATGCAAATGTGCATGTTCATATGCTCAATTTGATAGTTCATGCAAGTTTTAAAAAAGCTTAATTGATTAAATGCAAATTAGATAAGACAGTATATGATTTAGAAATTAAAAATTAATTCTCTTCACTTGAAAAGCTGAATTGTAGACCCATAAGTCTTCAATGTACAAACATTGTGACATATATTATAGAGCTATGGTATATGCTGAAGTATTTATACAGGAAATGTGAAAAAAATCGTTTGTGTTCCTCCATGCGTTAAGGGTTTCTGGCGAAGGGTGTTCTAGCTAGTTGATATATATTTATATTTGTGTTCCTCCGTGTATTAAGGGGTCTCAGTTGAAGGTGATCTTGCTTGTTGATAGATATTTATGTTTGTGTTCCCCCATGTGTTGAGGGGTCTCAGTTGAAGGTGGTCTAGCTAGTTGATAGATATTTATATTTGTGTTCCTCCATGTGTTAAAGGGTCTCAGATGAAGGTGGTCTAGCTAGTTGATAGATATTTTTATTTGTGTTCCTCCATGTGTTAAAGGGTCTCAGATGAAGGTGGTCTAGCTAGTCGATAGATATTTATATTTGTGTTCCTCCATATGTTAAAGGGTCTCAGATGAAGGTGGTCTAGCTAGTTGATAGATATTTATACGACCGCAAAAATTAAAAAATTTTGGGTTGTATATTGGTATCACGTCGTTGTCGTAAGCGTCGTTCGAAGACAGATGGTTTCCGGATAATAACTTAAGTATAAGTAAATAGAAATCAATAAAATTTTAACACAAGGTTTATAACCATTAAAGGAAGGTTGGGATTGACTTTGGGGGTTATGGTCCCAACTGTTTAGGAATTAGGGGCCAAAAAAGGGGCCAAAATAAGCATTTTTGTAGTTTCCAGACAATAACTTGTGTTAAAGTGTATGAATCTCTCTGACATAATAACGCAAACTTCCATACAACAAAGGGATGGTTAGGATTGACTTTGGGGGGTTATGGCTCAAACCATTTAGTAATTAGGGGCAAAATTAGGGGAAAAACAAGGGTTTTTCTGGTTAAAGGACAATTGAGACAATTTAAAAGCAGTGTAAGGGAGGTAATCCAATTCAAATTAAAGAACACTGTTTGATTACCTCCCTTACACTGCTTGTAAATTATGTATTAAGAAATGATGATTGTCTTGAGGTGATTAGCTGTCAATTTATTTTTAGCAGTGACTATTAATTAATATTAATTTTAGCCATGACTATGTATGTCATTTTATATTTTAAAACACTTATGATGTATTTAAATGGGTAATTTTGGTTGCAAACTGCATTAGAAATTTGAATTGAGATACTGACCATATCTTGATGGAAAGAATTTTTTGGGGGAATAAGGGAAAGGGGGGAGGTGAAAAAAATTGGAGGGGGACAATTTTTCTCATTTCAGATTTCAGAAATTAAGAGAAAATTTCTTCAAATATTTTTTTTGGGGGGTTAATATTCAACAGCATAGTGTATTGCACAAAAGCAAAAAACCGGGGTAAAATAATTTTTTTTTGGTGGGGGGGGGGGGGTCAATTCGCAACAGCATAGTGTATTGCACAAAAGCAATAAATTAAATATAACTTCAAATCATATAACCAATTTGAAGTTCTTTGACTACAGTTATTCTGTGTCAGAAACCTATTATGTGTCAAAAATTTAGTTACAATCCAAATTCAGACCTGTATCAAGCGTGAATATTGTGTCCATTTTGGCCCGGCTTTTCAGGGTTGGACATCTGCGGTCGTATCCAGCTGTGCTCAGCGAAGCAATTTATTTTATTTGTGTTCCTCCATGTGTTAAGGGGTCTGACTCCCAGTTGAAGGTGGTCTAGCTTGTTGATAGATATTTACACTTGTGTTCCCCCATGTGTTAAGGGGTCTCAGTTGAAGGTGGTCTAGCTTGTTGATTGATATTGATGTTTGTGTTCCCCCAAGTGTTAAGGGGTCTCAGTTGAAGGTGGTCTAGCTAGTTGATAGATATATATATATTTGTGTTCCCCCATGTGTTAAGGGGTCTCAGTTGAAGCCAATGAAGGTGGTTTTACTTGTTGATAGATATTTATATTTGTGTTCCTCCATGTGTTAAAGGGTCTCAGATGAAGGTGGTCTAGCTAGTTGATAGATATTTTTATTTGTGTTCCTCCATGTGTTAAGGGGTCTCAGTTGAAGGTGGTCTAACTTGTTGATAGATATTTAAATTTGTGTTCCTCCATGTGTTAAGGGGTCCTTGTTAAAGGTGGTCTAGCTAGTGGATAGATATTCATATTTGTGTTCCCCATGTGTTAAGGGGCCTCGGTTGAAGGGAATAAAAAACATAATAATCATATAGTCATATACTTAGATACTTAGATACTTAAAACTGAGTTTACAAATTCTAGTACCTTGATAGATATACATCTTTTATCATTGACTGAAGTAAGAGTAAATTTTGCTCCCCACAAGCTTCCTGTTATGTATTGGCTTCCGAAATTACACAAAAAACGGATAAATATTGTTTATGCCCTGCCGCAGCGGGGGGGGGGGGGGGGGGGGATAGATATTTATATTTGTGTTCCCCCATGTGTTAAGTGGTCTCAGTTGAAGGGAAGAAAAAAAACATGATAATCATATAGTCATATACTTAGATACTTAGATACTTTAAACTGAGTTTACAAATTCAGTACATTGATAGATATACATATTTTATCATTGACTGAAGTAAGAGTAAATTTTGCTCCCCACAAGATTCCTGTTATGTATTGGATTCCTAAATTATACACAAAAAACGGATAAATTTTGTTTATGCCCTGCTGCAGGGGGGGGGGGGGGGGGGGGCATTAAGTGTTCACCTTGTCCGTCAACGTCCCTCCGTACTTCTGTCTGTACCTCCGTACATATGTCTCAAAATTGGTTTCTGTTCTCTAACTCTGCCTCAACCAAATGTTATGAAACGTATACACAATGCTCATAAGAATAAAACACAGATCGAGTTCGAATTTGGGTGGTGTCACTTTTACAGTTCTCTAGTTATGTCCCTTTATAACTTGAAATGCAAGCGAGGGCATTATCTGTGTCCCATGGGCACATTCTCCATTTATTTTACATGATGGTGTGTATCTGCATCCAGTCATGGTCAACTAAAAATATTAAGGGTAGTACTTCATTTGCCAAGGCGGCTTAACCACGGTTAGCCTGGTTGGTAATTCTGGAATATGCACAGTCGCTTCATTTGCTAAGAAATCAACTGCAGGCGCATATCTGTATATGCCGCCCTTTCTGGTCTTGACACACCTGCAAGAAATCAGCCAGGTAAAAAAGAATGGCGGAAAGCGTATTGAAAGGTAAAATGTTGAAACTTAAAGTTGTAGATTGTAACATTTTCAATCAAACTATATTGTAATGTGATACTGCAATGGTCCACTATGACGATAATGGAACTCTACACTATATTTTGTTTTAAGAATTGATAAAATTATCTCCGAGACACGTTTTTATGATGAATGAGGTTTTGGAAAAAAAGATTGTACATACAATTTTTATTAAAAGGTCCATTTTTTTAATATTTGACAGCTTAGAAAGCAAATAGTATAAATGTGTACTTCAGTCGCCATTTTTGATTCAGCTGATTCAGCCGGTTCAACTCGTTTAACCCGGTCATGTGATAGTGCTTACCGGGCATAGCCCAAACTAGAACGAATGAAGCAGACCCATAGTTTTTCTACCTATTTGTCTTAAGGGCACAAATCAAATATTGTATGTTTTGTGACAAAGATTATGTTATTAATGTAAGGATCCAAAGAGTTCGCAAAATTTGCTGTTCTATTCGTGCTATTTAGCAATGGGCACTGACCGTGATAGTCTGGGCTGGGCTACTTAGTTCTTTCTCTATCATGTCTCAGTAGCCAAGCTAAGGAATACTGGGAAATTGATTTAAGTTCTATCCCTTTAATAGCTGTATTTACTGTTTCTGGAGTATTAAAATTTCTTTTGAAGTCTTGGATAAGTTAAGGATGTTCGCTCCTCTTGTTTTTGAATTTTTGCCAGATATTCGGAATCCTCTGGTTTATTCCACGTAGTGCCATTAAAAATTTTGCCCACTAACCACTACTTTTCTTTCCATAATTTGATTACATATAGTTTAAAATGTCATCTTTGAAAATCTTATAAAATCCTTGTTATTTTTTTATCTTTTTGAAAGAAAAAAGGTGCCAATGTTAAATGTATGAAAAATCTAGAGAGAATTATTTCCCGCCAAATTTTAAATGGCTTATATCTCGAAAACAAGCACACGGACCCTTCATTTTTTCCTGCTTTTTTAGTTTCTTTATTTATATACTATCAATATATAACAGTCTTTTAAAAAGCTTGTTATTTTGAAACAGAGGAGCGAACATCCTTAAGTTGATTTGAATGTCAGTCTATTTTTGTTGACAGTTCTAATTTTCTATTCTATTCACTACACTACCACACATTCTTCCAAAAAGACATATTTCTATTTAATAAAATGGTCTTTAAATATATCTGGGTTTAACTAAATGATATCTGTTAAAGATATATGAATTCATTTTTTCAGTTTTAAACATATAAAACCAAACTACATGTACAATGTAGATGAGCATAATAAGAGAAATATTTAATGAAATGAGTTTGTTATGGTGATGTAGTACACTGTCAAGTTATTGGTATTTATTGGGCCTGGCTAGGACAGATCTGTTCCTTTTCTGTTATGAATCACTATAGTAAATAGCTATTGGACGTCATAAAGATTCAACAAAGTCCTTTTTGAAAGCTAGATATTTTCAACATTACCTTCATATATTTTAAAAGACAAAATTTCCTTGTAAACAATCAAGTTTTCTATGTACTGTTAGCCAACTTATTTTGGTAGACACTTTTTTATATGTAGCCTTTTTCATCCAATTTTGCAGCTATTAAATTGAATTGTGTGTATTTACATTAAATTAGTATAAAAACTTGCGACAAATCTATAGTATAGGAAATATTACATAACAGCCTTTACCCTGTCATTGACATTTAACTCAATAAAGATATAAAGAGGGAGACAGCTGTATTTTATAACTCTTATAAAACAATATTCATTGATCTAGTGATTATTTTTTAACTGCCTACCTTATTTAGCTCAAATGACATTAATTTTGAAAATAAAAATTCCAAAGGTGGTATGAAATCAAAAAAGCTACTTTTTCAGAAAGACACAAATATTGTCACAACTTGTTAGAATAATGCCCATTGAATATCATTAGAATTGAAATGTTCAAAAAATTGTTACTATTGATATTTTTATACGTATATTGGTATGACGTTGTCATCGTCCGAAGACACATTGGTTTTCGCACTCTAAACTTTAGTTTAAGTGAATGGATCTCTATGAAATTTTACCATAAGGTTCAATACCACAAAAGGAAGGTTGGGATTGATTTTGGGGGTTATGGTACCAACAGTTAAGGAATTAGGGGCCAAAAAGGGGCAAAAAATAAGCATTTTTGTAACTTCCAGACATAACTTGTGTGTAAGTGTATGGATCTTTCTGAAATTATACTACAAGGTTCCATATCACAAAGGGAAAGCTGGAATTGAGTTTTGGGGTAATTGCCCAAAACGTTTAGGAATAAGGGGCCAAAAAGGGGCCAAAAATAAGCATTTTTCTAGTTTCCAGACAATAACTTGTGTTCAAGTGTATGTATGGATCTCTCTGAAATTGTACTGCAAGGTACCATACCACAAAGGGAAGGCTGGGATTGAGTTTGGGGACGATGAATCATAAGGGGGTTCAAAAAATTGGGGGGGGGGGATTTTTTTTCCTTTTTTTCTTTAAAATTTTCCATTTTAAATTGGTTATTTCTGATTTATATATAAAAGCAAATAATAATGATATGGTTTGAATAGGTAAATTAAAAATTTTAAGTTCTTAGACCACATTCATTCTGTGTCAGAAACCTATGCTGTGTCAAATATTTAATCACAATCCAAATTCAGTGCTGTATCAAGCTTGAATGTTGTGTCCATACTTGCCCCAACTGTTCAGGGTTCGACCTCTGCGGTCGTATCAAGCTGCGCCCAGCGGAGCTTTTTATTTTAGTCTATTTTTGTTTGGAAAAATACTTCCATATTCAACAACCAAGGAAAAATTTTATATAGTAAGATATATCTTACTATAAAAATCCTTGCAACAACCAAATATTGTCAAAAAAAAATGTTAACAGCCTAATGACATAATTTAAACTTGTAGTGTTTGTCACCATGACAATTTTAAAAGAGCGTAAATTGTTTGTGTTATTTTTTTTTATTTGGTTATTTCAATATTTTAGTAACAGCTGTTTATCATCCCTGTTCAATTTTTCAAAATTTCGCCACATGTATGTATGGGAAGTTAAAAAGTCCTTAATGGTTCTTTCTTACAATATTTGACAACATGATTTATGTCAATCAAGTCACATTATGAGACAGCTTGGAAAATATTCTTTACCCTGTAATGAAAAAAAAAAACACATTGATTGAAGTGCATACTTTATAAATATAGCGAACAAATTATGATTTAGACTTCTATCAATATTCAGTATCGTCAAGATGTTTTGACAGTAAAATCAAGGTTTTGCTTTAATTAACCTTCATTTAAAATGGATGTTTAAATATTTCTTTATCTCATCAAGTATTGAAGACATGATGTAAAGGGAAAAAAGGGATCAGATTACAATATATATAAGCATATTAATGTGTTCTATTTGAAAAGGTTAACAATAAATGGTACAATTAAACTTACACCTAACATGTCCCACAGTATTTTGTACAAGTTCTCATATAATGTCTGTGTCTTCAATTAGGTCATATATTAAACTGAAAATCTGTAATGATAAAAGTAGACAGAAATTTATTCCAAATTAATTTATGATTGATAAGTAAGAGATATATAAATATTATAAATGGATTACATGCCTCTAATGGAATAAATATTAACTTTGACGTGATTGATAGTTAATTTGGATTACACCTGGTCGATGGATACTTTTTAGAATTGTACGTTGAGTGACATTTGTGACAAGTTTCATTATAATTAGCATGTCTGTTAATTTGTTTAATACATGTTAAAATGTTCATCAACGAACAGCAAAGGGCAATGTGACCTAACGAGACAATACATGTATTTTAAAATGGATAATGATAGTGGAAGAAACCTGAAGCTGAGGTGAGCACCACTTTTGAAGATTTTTTTTACAGAAAAATCACTCTTTTTCACTAAGTAGACACCAGTTACAATAGGTGACTTAATGCCTCAAGGGCATACATTACATTTTAAAGATTGTAAATCCTTGACACTATATTGGACAAAAATATGTAGGGAAGTAAGTCTACAGCATACAACCAAGATTGATCAAAATTTTAATTCAAAAATATATTTGGTCACAATTTTACAAATTCTACTTTGGTACTTATTATTGTATGTTTACTGTTGTAGATCCTACAACTGTTATTGTATGCTCATAGTAAATAATGCATATCAAGATGTATGATGCAGAAAATTTGATTAATGAAAGAATATGTGTTAGAAAAATGTTGATAGTGAATGGTAAAATAATTTAAAAGATGCAATAGTGAAAAAATACCTGTTCCAAATGAAATTTTTGTGGAATCATTTATTTTATGGACTGGGTGAAAATATATTTTGTGTGTAAGACACTTATTTGTGATAACTGATTAACCAGTATCTAATATTCAACATCTAAAAATATAAAAGTTATTTTAGAGAGATTTGCAAACAGGAATTTTTTAAGAAATGGGAAGCTTTATTTGAAACAGAAGAATAGTTCAGGAAGTCTCCCATTTCATAGTGAACACAAATGAATTTGGTATTTTTTTTAAGACATAGACAATTTTGGTATTATTTTTCATTCGCAATTTAACTGACTCTGAAATGCTAAGTATTTTAAATTCACAAACGTCTTTGTTTTTAAAGAATTCATCTGACATTGCCCAAACACAGACATCAACATGAATTTTGATGAAATCTGTAAAGTTGATCTTACCATTTGCTTAAAACCAGGAATCTATATTTGTACTCTATACTGAGAAAGCAACACAAGTAAGCTAAATTCATCTGAAGGTCAACATAGTCATCATAAATAAAAGTGATTAAACAATTATCATGTTATCTGTACAATAGATAGTGGGCTGGATATGGGATACATGTGTTAAGTTGGCAACATTAATTTCTTTAAATCATTAATTGAGCAAGAATTTTGTTACATGTATATACTGGAGAATGAAAGTCTCTTTGGGTAAAATTTGATATCTCAATTTTGAAAGGTTCTAATTAGGTCAAACAATTTATTCTTTCAATCTCAGTTCATTTTATGACTATTTTAACATATTCTGTCTAACATACATGCATTAAATATGGAAAAATAAGTGGGGGGAAGTTTGTCCTAGGGACAAAAAGACAAGGTTTATTGTTTTAGTCCTAGTCTGTCCATCTTCAAAAAGGGTACATGGTTTGTCTGCCTAACTTCTCTTAGTTTTAGAGGGCCTCAGTGACTTAGTGGTGTAAATAGTTTACCTACTGTATCACTAGCCTGTTAACACTGAGGTTGTAAGTTCTAATCCTGCACATGGCATGTAGGTTCAACACCAATCCTGAGGATTGTTAGTTTTTCTGCTTACGGTTGTGGTTCTCTCCAGGTACTCAGGGATTCCTCCAACAATAAAAATGAACCTCCATGATACAGCCAATAGTGCTCAAAGTGTTTCATGTCCGTCATATTTGTTTTTCCTAAATTGTTTTGTTAAAAATCAGGCCATTAGCTTTCTCAATTGAATTGTTTCATATTTTTCATGTCGGGGCCTTTTATAGCCAACTATACAGTAAGGATTTTTGGAAAATGACGCTATCAGCGGCATGTTTCCGATACCATTGACCAGAACTAACGGAAGTTGATTATGCCTCCGCCTACCGCACTCGGTTTCATATTTACTATTTTACATACTATTACTAACTGGAATCTGCTTGTATTACGCTACACTCGAACAAAGTGTTGTAGTCGGACGGAACCAGTTTACATACGTTATTTTATTTACCAAAAAGATATCTTGACCTGTCCATATGTTTTTTGTTATTAAATGGTATTTGGAGCTATCCCTTTGTTATATTTTTCATATTTATTCGAGCTTTCACTTTTATGCACATGTCATACAATCGTAAACAATCGGTATGTATACATGATAAATAGATCCGTTTTGTTATGGTGTTGGACTTTTTACCCTCCAATGATCAGCAATCGCTAGACAAAATAGTTCTCCTAAATAATGTCAGCCTTTCATGCCATTTCAACTTTACAATCATTAAAAAAGTAATAATCGGAATCATTTTGATATCCATTGGATAGAAACTGGTCTTTATCCAGATTTACGAAGATTTTAATAATCGGAAATTAGTAAAACGGTTATACCCACGCGGTGCGTATGAATCTTTGTTTACAAAGTTATAGCAGCAGAGTCTGTAACTGTTTCATTATTAATTAACTACACTGTTATTGTACTTAATATGATGAAAACTGCATATGCAATATAAGATGTCTTTCGGCCAATACAGATTTTTTTTCCGTATTGGCCGAGTTCTGATCCGGCCAAAACAGGATTTCGGAACGTCTCTAGTTTTTAGATCGTAAGTCAGGATGAACTCAAACTGAAAGTAAACAGTTGTTTGTACGACGCAGTTTTTATTTACTCACCATAAACAAGCTGAAACGTTCAGTATGGCATATGTTTTGGGTTAAAGACGGTCCCATTCATTTGAAAAGCATTTTGAAAGTAGACGATGGAATTATTTCAGGTTTGGGGAACGAGTAAATTATCACAAAGTTCATTTCTTGACGACCTCATAATTTCATCATGTCGATGGTACAAATCGATTTTTACTGTTTACTTTCGCTTCTCATGTTTTGTAAACGGTCTTTTATTTTTAAACCCGAACCAGGCATATGCATTCTGTAATTGCGCAAATCTTCGTTCTTTGGTCAATTTGCTTATGGATAGTTGTATCAATTTCAACTCTTACATTATTTTTTTTTAAATATATTTGCATTACACATGCAATGGCAGTACCTTTCCAATTACTATTTATGTGTTGTGTCTAAATTAAAGTTGTAACACTTTATAGTGACTGGAAAGGGTAGAAAAATTCATCAGATGAGAACAGGCTGAAGATACATGGAAACGGCACCAAATCATTAGATATTGCATCTTATAAAAAGAAACTGAGATTTGGATAGTTCCACTTCAAGGTAAAATGTTTATCTCTTGTGAAATGAAATAAAAAAATATTGTAACACTGTAGTTAATTAATAAAGATACTATTACATGTATTTCTGTATTGGCCTTATTGTTGGTCCTCGGCCAGCAGTACACCAAGACATGGACCAATAACAAGGACAATACAGAAATACTTACACAATAATATTATAGAATGACAGTATGGTTCAATAGCGGGAATCAGCCCCTCAACTACTTTTTACATTAATATTAACTTCTGGCTTCAACTCCTTGTTCGTCTTGTCTGGAGATCTTGTTGTAGTTCCAGTTAGGCAAGCATTTTAGAGACCTATCCCGTCCATCCTCTCTTCACTTGTAATTTCTGGTGATAGATTTTGCCGCTTGACGTTGTATCCTTTCAAGCTTGTTTTTTTTTTGTTACCGTGTAGGGGTCCCATACTATGGCTCCATATTAAATTGTAAGATCCATTCCTAAAGGTCTAGATCATTGTTCTAATCTGACACAAATTTCAATAACTGGAATGCTACCCAAGTTGAATATATGGTGACTTACTAGAACAGCATTATCACTATTGAAATTGTGTTTAATACCATGATTGTTCAATGTCATTAACTTAAATGGAGACAGACATTTGACCTGAAAGGTGGTGTGGGAGTGCAAAATCAAAAACTAACTGACTATGATATATGGTTAAAGAATGAATATCAATTACATGGGTCAACATGGTCAAGGGCAGAGTTGTTATGAAATAACAATATGGCAGAGAAGTGGTTTCAGGTTTCATATAAAGCGACCTGACTGACATGAAATAAAAAATCAAAGGAGTATCCCTATTTGTCTAATCTTCAAGGTGAAATAAAACTAGTAAAACAATATTATACTATTGTCTAAATCTACAGAAATATAATTTGCTTCAAGTAACAGAAATAACTAGGTCACTAGTAACTTATTTAATAAGTATATGTATGTGGGGTATAAGAGCTTGATAATAACAGGCTCTTCATAATCATTTGGTTTGAAAAGGATACTAGTAGTCTATATTCTTGATTTAGAAAAATGTAATTGCAAGACAACAATCACATTATTTAGAATAATTTAGATCATTCAGGTAGTCTTTATTTATATGTACAAAAGAACAGCCAGTAGTCATTGGATATTGTAGATCATTCTGGTAGTCTTGACCTATTTATTTATAGAAAAAAACAGCCAGTAGTCATTGGATACTGTAGATCATTCAGGTAGTCTTGACCTATACATTTGTACTAAAAAAACAGCCAGTTGTCATCTTCACATAACACACACATATACGAATATCAATTATATGCTTACGAGACATGTTGGAATGTTAAACTAATTACGGTTTGTGAAAATCAAGACTTGCATAAAAAATATCACAATATTAGAGACAGTGGCGTCATTTTTCCTCAGAGCTTTCAGCTCTTTGATTCTCATTGTTGAAGGCCGTACTGTTGCCTATAATTGCTTACGTCCACTTCATTTTAACTTTTGTGGATAGTTGTCTTATTGACAATCATACCACATCTCTTTATTTTTATAGTTAAAAACCAACAATCAATCAATCTCAGATTTAAATTTTTTTTTTCAGATTTTCTCTACATATTACAAAGTTTGGCAAATTGTCAGGGTTTTGTTTTCTTTTTGAACTTCCTAATTGGCTTGATGATATTTGGTCTTTATAGTTTGTCCACCTACCTTATCTTACAGTATTAAATCTAGAACTTTTTTATTTGGCAGAATAATTCTACCTTTAACAAAGATAGGCATATTATCAGTTAGGTATCTTTTCATTTTTACATAATTACAGGTTACTGCATTTTTTTTTAATCTAGAAGATAAAACCATTGTTTGTTCAAATAATTAGTTTTTATCTAGTGAGATAATTAGAGAGTATAAACTTTTTAATGGTAGGGTAATTGGACTTGTATCTGATATGTGCATGATGATGGTCTTGATTATGAGATATTTTACAGTATTTTACAAAATCACAGGAAAATGAATCCATGTATATGGTTTGTAATGTCATATCTTTCAAGATGTCTGCAGACTACAATTTTTTTATACATGTATTTCAAATATGTTTTACAGACACACCTGTCTAAAAAAACCAGTATAATCCCTACTGAAAAAAAAAACAGTACTGGTCATGTCTTTGGTTCACAGCAAGGCAGGGCCATATTCTTGTTTTAAATTTCAACATACTGTGAACCACAAGTACTATAATTTTTCTAGCCTAATGATTTTCCATTGATGAAACATCAGGGCTGAAATCTACTTCATCACCTAAAGTTTACAAAGGTCTACTAAACTGTTCTGTCACAGCTGTATAGGCATTATAAATATATTTGCTAGCAACAGATGCAGTAAATAATATATGGTAATGTCAATAATTTTAACATAGCATGAGATATATAGAAAAAATAGTCAGTAATCCAATTTAGATATTATAAATTTTCATAGCCGCATTTGTCAACAGATCATAATAGTATTTTAAACTTTCAGGTCTTTAGCATTAATTCTTAGTTTATAGTTGTATACTGTATGAAAAGATTACTTCTATTTTCAAATTAGAAATCAAAATGCAACCTCATCAGAAATCAAGCCTAACAATATTAGACCTGCAAATGTATTGTTCTTCCTGCTGTGGAGTTGATCCCATGCTTACATATAAATCCTATTTTGATAAAACTGAGTATCATTTCCATGGAGATTATATGGGCCTGCCCCATCATCATGATTCATTGACTTTGAAACTTTTGCATAGTTTACAAGATAAAGTTTGTGTTTTGGTTAGTTTTAAGGGAACCACTTATGATAAGTCAATGGTATTTGCGATATATATGGTACTCATGCGCACAGTTTTATAAGCATTGACATTTCTCATTTCCATTGAGGTTATTTGGCCCTGCACATTCAGTCATGGTTCATTGACATTGAATATTTTGTCTAGTTTACATGTTTAAATTTTGCCATTTTAATTTCAACATTTGCATTATATCAAAATTGTGAAAAGCGAGACATTTCTTTGTGTCAACAGTTTATGGGAAACTATCTTCTTAAAAATTATAACTGAATGACTATCATATACCTGACTTGTAACAGGTACTTTGGAAATGAAAGTGGTTGTGCTTTACTTTCCATAAAGAAATATGAGGTTATGACATAAATAAATAGTCTAAACTGTTTCTCACACCCATAGGGTCCATCCATTATTAATATTAATACTAAATGAAACTGAAGTCTCATTTGATATGCAATACATGAATTTATATACTATAGTTAAATTTATACCTGCATTAATTTAAATTTAAAGGTCTGGTTATAAAAAGTAGATCAGTAAATTTTATTTTTTATTTGGATAAAGCATTTAAAAAATTACTAAAGATTTCGTGACGTGGATTTTATTGACTTAGTAAAGGTTAAAAATTCAGTTCTTATTCAAATCATGTGTGTATAAAAGAAGAGATCAGATGTGATTGTGGTATGAATATGAAATTTATGGATTCTTCAGATCTTCATAAAGCCATAGACACTGGAAAGGTGCCTTCAGATCTTTTTAAAACCATAGATACTGAAAATGTGCATGAACAAAATCATGGAAATATCAAAAGGTTGGAAATATTTCTATGAAAAAATGTTTTGAATTTATACAAACAGGTGATGTATCATTTCATTATTTTGCATTCTTTGCATTGTCTTTCAACCACTACTGTGCAATTTTTTTGTTTTTTTTATATTTTGTATTGCATTGTAAAAGATATCTATGCTCACTGTAATCCATATATATATTCTATTAAAAAAACAAGTCACCTCACTCAAGACTGCTCATATTGATTTTCTTCATCAAGCAATTTTTAATGGTTGTCTGAGCATCTTTTACTTTTTTACAGTAAATGTTTTGTTGGACTCAGTTTGGATCTATTGTAAAGATGTTTAGCTTTAATTCTAGTAAACTTTGAAAGATATTCTGCAACCTTTCACAGATGCCAGTCTTAGAACCCTTATTTTCACTAACAATTTTGCCATTGTATGGAATATTGTTTTGATCAAAAATAGAACCATTATAAACACTGTCAATCAATTATACATGTACACATCACGATAGGAGCTACACAGAAGGTTGAATTGTCCATACTTTTTAAATATCACATTGACTGGCAGTTCCCTTTTTGGCATTTTTACAATTAGTGGGCCCACACACAGATATTTTATTTTTATTTTTGAAAAATGTCATATGACAAAAATAAAACTTTATAAAACAAACTGTTTTCCTATGCAAAAATTTTTCCGGCAGGATTAGATGACGATCTGTGAGTAAATACTTTTAAAAGAAATTTTATCAGCTGATATAGATATCATGATTTTGTAATCGAATGATTATTTGTATTTAAAAAATAATAGGAAATTGATAACAGATTAACTTATAATTATTTATGAAATTTATTTATATTTTCAAATTTATAGTGTTATATAGAAATAAGAAGATGTGGTATGAGTGCCACAGAGACAACTCTTCATCCAAGTCAAAATGTGTAAAAAGTAAACAACTATAGGTCAAAGTATGGCCTTCAACACATAGCCTTGGCTCACGTCGAACAGCAAGCTATCAAGGGCCCCAAAATGACTAGTGTAGAACAAAAGACAACTTTCGAGTTCCTTGCATTTCCATCAAAAACTTTGGTTTTAGTGAACATCATTCGTGCGTTTAGGGGCATCGTCACTTCCTTTCTAATGTTGAGCGAGTGGTCGGAAAAATATGATGCTATATTGCACGAATTATTTGGCAAATTAGATTCTTATAATTGAAAATCAGCACTGCCGTCACTAAGACGCTTGATGAACGTTAATAGTGCAGGGATACAGGGGATCCCTCTATCTGGTAAATGACGTCGTATAGAAAGGTGTGAATAATTGACGAATTTTTCTGGTGAAGGACATAACTCAAAAGTGGCCTATTCAAACAGGAAAACCGACAGTCTAATCTCTATAAACAACAAGAAACACTTAAGAACCACATCAACAAACAACCACTGAAACAGGTTCTTGACTTAGCTTAGGACAGATGCAAACAAATGCAGCTGGTTTAAATGTTTTAACAGGCTCCAACCTTCACCCTAACCTGAAATAGTACTAGTGTAACATTACAACATAGAAAGACACACAATAAAATATCAATTGAAATGGCTTAACTCAAACAAAAAGACATTTTAACAAAAATTCGTAAGAGTTCCACAGAACCCAGTGTCTCACCTACTTTTGCTGCTAGTCACGGGCTCAACAAAAATGGGGAAAAAATTATTAAAAATTTTCCTATAGATACTATCTTTTGATTGTAAGAAGTTTTGGTAAAAAATCCAGAATGGTTAATGAATCTAGTACATGTTTTAAAAACTTTAATTACAGACTGTATGTAATGTTAACTGGAAGAAAAACTTAAGTCCATTTATAAGATATATACGGAAAAAACAGGAAATATATTTTTACAAAATGTCCTTCTAGATACTAGCTTTTGATATAGATCAAGTTAGCATTTTGTTTCAGTACAATGAATTTTTTACCAGTAGGGGACTATGTATTGCCAGGCAGTACTCACAGAATGCTTGTTCATTAGTGCATCTAACATGTATGGCTTGACTTGTAATGCAGCATTATTATTTAAAAATTGAATGCCTCTTTTTGTTATTTTATTGCAGTGTAAAAGCATTGACAAAGCATATTTTGTATGAAGCACTGAAGCCACATATTTAACACTTTTACAGTCCTTTGAAACTTCAAAAAGAAGCATTCATTTCTTATGATTACAATGTTATGCTACAAACATGAACTGACGAATTAATTCAAGCTTTGTTTGTTTTTTCTATGCATTTGAAATGCCTCGACCAATCAAAATTAAGGAATCGTATGAAACTTCTATGTTATGTAAATATTGACAATTGTTATCTTTCATGTTTATGTATACAGCTTTCTACAGAAAAACTCAACTTTTTCACCCATTTCATATTTTTTAAATTTTCCTCCAACTAATCACTGCATATTCATATTTTTTTCATTTATTTTAAGATGCAGTCATTCAGCAAGTAATATTCAGTCTGTGGCCTCCACCAACATGGATGACAGTTCATGTGAATCTACAGAGATTGTTCCTAATGTAGAGGTCACACAACATCTTCAAAGCATCATGCCATCAGAGGGCACTACAGGAACACAAGAACCGAAACGCACTTTGACTTTAATGCAGATGATTCTGTTGAATGCCATTGTTTGTGGAGTGGAAGTTTGTGCGTGTGCAGGTTTTACCTATATTCCACCAATGTTATTAAAAGCTGGATACACTGAAGAAAACATGAGTATAATACTTGGCATGGGACCATTCTTAGGACTCATCGTTGTGCCTATTATTGGTAAAGAAAGTGATCGTTGTACAAGTCGTTTTGGTCGCAGGCGACCGTTTATAGCTGGGCTATCACTTATTTTATTATTTTCCTTGTTGTTTATTCCATATGGAGATGTAATATTTATAAAGTTGTTAGGAGAAACATCATTTAGTAAAACAATGTGTCTTGTAGGATTAACTGTTGGTGTGATACTTTTAGATTTTACTAGTCAGGCATGTTTGACTCCATGTGAAGCTCTTCTATCTGATGCATCAAAAGATACTCATCAACACGAACAAATATTTACTATATACTCACAAATGGTCAGCTGTGGTGGTTTCCTAGGTTACCTAGTTACAGCAATAGACTGGAATTCTATGAGTATAGGTCACTTTTTCGGCAGCCAAGAAAAAACTGTGTTTTCAGTATTAACTGTTTTATTTTTACTTTTGTTCACAGCCACTATAATTGTTGCAAAAGAAGAGCCTCTAAGTGAAAGAGTATCAAGTCAGCTTGATTTACAACAACTTGAAACAGAAATCCCAGAACTCAAAGTGCCAGGAAGTACATTGGAATCTGGGTATGAATCTAGCATAAATTCTGATGAAGAAAATTATTACCCAGGACAACTAGTTAGAAGACAAAAACGTCATAAAAGTTTCTCAAAATCAAGCAAAAAAACAAGAAATTATTTCACATTACTTTTAAATATTTGTTTATATCCATTGATATTTGTACTTAAACGTATCAAAGTTTTAACAGTGTTGCAAAACATTTGTAAAGCAGTTGGTAGAGTTATATATGAAAAACTTCCAGAAACTGTGAAAAATTTAATAAATATCCCATATGTCTTAAAAGTTTTAGCATTAGCCAACTTTTGCAGTTGGACAGCCCTAATGGGATTTAATTTATTTTTTACTGATTTTGTTGGACAAGCCATATATGGTGGCAACCCCAATGCTCCTGAAAACTCAATTCTACGTAATCATTATGATGAAGGAGTCCGAATGGCAAGTTGGGGATTACTATTTCATTGTATAACATCAGCTGTATATGCGTTCCTAGTGGAGAGGCTTGTGAATAAGTTTGGAACAAGGTGGACATACTTCTTTGGAATGTTTTCATTTACAATAGCCATGTTTTGTATGGTGACTTGGAGAAATATTTACATAGTGAATTTAATGGCAGCATTTACAGGATTTGCCTATGCAACATTGACAACCATTCCATTTATACTAGTTACAACCTATCATACAGACAAACAGGTAATTTTATATTTTTTTTATTATTATTATCAGTGTAAAGGGGCACTAGCTGCCAAATTTATTACCACTTACTGTAAATTCAGAAATTATTGCGAGGTTTTTATTAATGCGAATAATGCAACAGAGTTAGTATCGCAATAATAAGAAGTTACATTCTGATATTCAATATATATATTTGTACGCCGATTTTCCTCATATCGCAATGATTAATCTCACATTTTTGTTCATTCTTCAAAAATGGCAATAATTTCTCAATTTACAGTAATTGAGTCAAACTCTTAAATTTGATTCATAACATACTAAAAGATACCAGAATTACAAAAGTTCCATAGGTTACAATAACCAATGCATGAAATTGTAAAAAAAGTATCAGCATGAGTGAACGAAGTGGTTCTTCTTGGTGGCTTTCTTGTTTCACTTTTCAGTTTTGACATTTTTTTCAGTTCTGATAATTGAACATGCACAACCCATCTATCTCCAATGCAACTAAAGGTTGTATGCTTAAAGACCCAAATGAGGTCTACTTATATATTACTGATGTTTTGGGGCTTATTTTTACAAAATTGAACAAAGGTGACTTCTAATAGCAAATTAATATTTCAATTTTTGCTTGTATTAATGTTTGAAACAAATTAATCATACCTTTAATTTTTTGTCTAAATCAAAGCTAATACTCTTTTAAAGCCTTTTCTGTGTTTGTGACAGTCATATTCAAACTAGAGGAAAGGAAAAAAAATAGTGTTTTGGCAATTAGAATGGAACAATGCTGTTAAATTACATCTATCAAATTAATAAAATACACATGCCAAAGAGTTCTTGTCCATTTTTCCTAAAAAGAAATGATTATACATTAATCTTTACTTATTTACAAGGAATTGACAAGGATTATTAGACAATTAAGGATTAGGGATGTCCATACATGACACAACATCAGTATATGCTTTTATTGCTGTTGAAGTGTTCTTCATCTCAAAGTCACAGTGAGGCCTTCAACACAGAGCAAAAAACTCTCACCTCACTGCAAGTTTAAGACAACCAGTTTTCCTGCCAAAGGTTGGTGGATTTCTCATGGAACTCCAGCTTCCTCAACCAGCCACCATAATATACAAAATGTCTTTGAAAAATGTTGGTGGATTTCTCATGGAACTCCAGCTTCCTCAACCAGCCACCATAATATACAAAATGTCTTTGAAAGTGGCATTGAACACAAAAAAAAACAACTTGCAATTTTAAAGAGAAAATAATGTATTTCACCCATTGCCATGACTGCAATCAGGCAATATAAACTTCTAGTATATACTTATTACTCTACTAGTGTTCTAAATTGAATACAGTATAAACATGATAAGTTCACGCTTTAACTTTGATAGGTCAAGAGGAAATCATGTTATCATGGTTATTATTCCATTTGGATATTAAATTATTGTTATTATTCCATTTGGATATTAAATTATTGTTATTATTCCATTTGGGTATTAAATTATTGTTATTATTCCATTTGGGTATTAAATTATTGTTATTATTCCATTTGGGTATTAAATTATTGTTATTATTCCATTTGGGTATTAAATTATTGTTTATAGGATATAACAATTGACCATAAAGGAATACAGAATAGTAATAATAATGTTTGAAATATAAATGATCAGTTTGGAGATTCTGACCGTGCAAGACTTTTATGAGTAGTCAAGGTTATGAGACCCCAAAAAAAAGTCCCCAATAGAAGTAGTAGTTGGAAGCTAGGTCTTCAGAAAAAAGATGAAACGACAAAAGTCCCAATTTCTTATAAAAACAGGGTATTCATTTTTCATGTTTTCTTTCCTGTTAATAAAAATTGTCCTTTTACCTTAATATTAATGCCTTTTGAAAAATTAGTTAATTCTTCACGATCTATTTGTTAAATTTGTTTCCATTTGAATAATTATTAGCTTGCCTTGAAAAAAATCATTAAGAATTTGGGACTGTTTTATAGGGACCACTGAATAAAGCTCAGGCTAAAATTTTATATATTTTCTTATTTCATGTATTTATCAAGTCATGTCCTTTTAAATACAGAAAATAAGCACAATTTTAGATTTCTTCTATATGATTTAATTTCCCTTCAATGGAATCATGGGAAATTTTGTCACAATGCCAATTATACTACACAGTAATCTAAATTACACAGTATGATTTGTATGTTAATTTGTTGGTTTTTTCAGGTTTTCTTCTATGATGTCAACAGTAATGGACCTAGTCGTGGAGTAGGTGGTGATATGGGTACATTAGATACTGCCTACTTTCTGTCACAAGTTGTTTTGTCAGGGCTGATGGGATATATTGTCCACATGACTGGAACAGTTTTGTCATACATGGTCACTGCTGGTGCCATGGGTATTCTGAGTTGTATTTGTGTACAAAGAATTATATCTAGCAAACATGATCTACACCATGTTCTACCAAAGCCAAGGGAGAAAATGAGAATATTGAACATCTTATGTGTTATTGTTATATTTATTTATTGTTATTTTATAGGGTTATTTTGTTGAACAGTTATATATTTAAAATGAAACTAGTCTTATCTAAACTTTGTAGTGACCAAAAATATTTGTAAAATAATTGTAAATATTTACAAAGCTTTGTCTCAAATATGTATGATTGAACACTTGTCCTAAATAATAATTTATGAGACACGCATTCTGTCATATTTATTCTATTAACTAAAAAACTGCCAAAATTTCTTAGTTTGTAACATTTTTGTCTTGACCAAAGTTACAAAATGCAGACATGGGATACAAATCTAATGGCAACAATATAAATTATTTATGTGAAGCTTTATTCTGATGCAATTTTTTTGAGTTTGTCCAGGGGTTTATTTAGATAGGTTTTTATGAACCAGTATGTTGATCTTATTTAATATGTCTTCCTATCTGAATCACTATATTATATCCAATCAAATATAATCATACACATGTATTTTATTTTATGTTTTTAAGTTAGTTACACTTTTAAAGGTAGTCAGATTTAGATTGGAAAAAACTCAATCATGACACTATCATGACTTTGTTTATCTGCATTTTAATGTGCTAAAGAATGATGAAAGTTGTGCCAAATTTTGTCTTCCTGGAATGTCATGTCATTCTTGTTTTTAAGATATTGTTGTATTGTTATTGATATTTTGTGGAATTTTTAAATATGTATACTTGTTCTAAACTTATATGATTACTAAGAATACAAAATTTTAAATAATCAAAAATTTACTGATAATACATTGAACAGAAGCTTAGCACCAACCATTTTTTCTTCAATGCATGAAAAAGAATACAAAATTTTAAATAATCAAAAATTTTCTGATAATACTTTGAACAGAAGCTTAGCACCAATTATGAGAAGGTTAGAATATTTTTTTATGATGCGTTATAATGCTGTTTTTTTTTAGCCTTATGTCATCATTTTGTGCTAAAGTTGTATAAAGATCATAAGAGTTATATTTATTCAAGTAATTCATGGCTGTTGTTAGTGATATCTGACTAGATTTCTCTGAATTACTCAAGGAAGTAGAGGATCCAAACCAATTTTTCGTTTCTTCAGCTCTCTCCGCTTTGTTCTGACCAAAAGGAAGCCATCAACATTGTTAGTCTCATTTATATTTTCACCTCATTGACCATATAGTAGCCAAATGTTCTAGGTGACAAACAGTAGTTTCTTACTTGTGTAAATATTTGTGGGTTTAAATTTTAAATTTTGATTAGTTTAGCAAAAACTAATTTTGTAGGGAGAAATATGTTCTGATTATTGTCACATAAATCTAAGTTCATCTCATTTAATTAAACCTGACCCGTAAATAGTCTTACTACAGAGAATACTCTTTTCACAATGAATGTACAGTGAAATAGTGAGATTTAATACTTGTACCATAATTTATCCTGATAATTTTTAAAGTGTAGTTCCTGTGCCCCCTCTTTGCTGACTAGGATCTGACAACACTCCAGTTTTATTCTGTTCTGGTAATTATTGCATCAGTCAAAGAAATCAGCCTTCAAATTTTTTGGAAGGTGTGTATCATTATGACAAAACCAGAGAATCCTGAAAGGTCTTTAAAACAGAAAGTAGAACAGAGTGTTGTCAGATCCTTGTAAGCGAAGTGTTGTCAGATCCATGTAAGCAAGACATGGTCAGATCCTTGTAAGCGAAGAGTGGTCAGATCATTGTAAGCAAAGTGTGGTCAGATCCTTGTAAACCAAGCTTGGTCAGATCCTTGTAAGAGAAGCGTTGATACAGGATCTGTATTTTAATAAGATTGTATGTAAGCATTACTTTATTTACTTTATTGATTTCAATTGTACTTATAGTTATTTTGTGTATGATTTATTGAGGGATATATTCTACTTAGCACTATTTGTTTCATGATCAAATTAATTCAGGTAGCTTGTATACTTTTCTGTCATTTCAAATGATTTTAAAAGCCAAAGGAAAAACCATTTATTTTTAGTATTTTAGTGGCTTTTATGATTACTTAAAGAGTACTTTCACTATATTGTCTTATTTATGAATTGGTAATAATGTTTAAATATTACTTTTGTTTATATATATTTACTTTAGATATTATTGTTAAGTTGTTCTATTTTAGATAGTGGTTACCTGTTGGTGCCAGTGTGAGCTATTGCCAACACTATCAGTCTGGGTTCATCATCCCTCTTTAGAATTGAGTCATTTATTTTCTACTTTTTCTTCGTCTCCTATGAAACTACTGGGTTTATTATACCCTCTGCAGACAAAGTGGTATAGGTATATAGGAATCTGTCTGTCTATCTGTCTGGACCAACTTTTTTATCCTTTGTTCGATTCACTTCAAACTGTATAGAATAAATGATCAATATATGCAAACATTACCAAGTGAAAGAATTTTATTCTATTTAGTTTATCCAGAATTATGCCCCTTTCACCTAAGAAATTCTGACTCTCTTCAGAAACCAACCTTGTCATTGCAAGTCTTCCTGCATCATGTACATGTTTTTAATCATATCTACAGAAAACTAGGTTGTTAAAATGTGCAAGTGGGTAGAATGCTCCATTCCACTGAAATTTCCCATAGTGATGCCTCTTTAATCTTAGAAAATTTGGGCTATGTCCAAATCCTACCTTGTCATTGCCACTTCTCAAAGATAGCCCATTATGTCTATATGAAACCTTGTATACTTGTATTGTAAGATCCTGATATGCCAATATACATGGATGTACATGCATCTGAGACAAAATCATATAAAACACAAGAAAAATGTTGAAATTTATATTTAATCAACTTCTATGATTCCCTGTATGTCAGTCACTAGCTTACTCAGTCAATCTAGGATGCAGGGGATCGCCAGGGGTATAAGTCCAGCTAAGTTGACATTTATAAACTGATCATTTAAATGTCAAATAAGGCAGGAAAAGTTAATTGAAAGTAATTTTTACAAAACCCTTGATTCATTCTGGTTGGATGAAGAACATAGAACAAGAGTAGACATTTTTTGGTAGAACTGTTAAATGTTATTTTTAATTTTTAGAAGTTTGAAATGTTGTTCTTATTGCTCAGATTTTATTTAGCATGCTATATCAAAACCAAATTAAAACGTTATTTGTTTTATTATCATTAAAAAATGTCAAACATTGAATTATAGTGCATTCTTAAATAAGGGTCTAAGAATAGAGACTTGAGGGAACTCTATTATATGAGGTAGTGGTAATCATTTATACATTGGTATTATTATTGTTTGTTTTGGAAGGTGAAAGTATTATGGTATATCTCTGTCCATGTATCAAAGCACTCTCATCTATCTGAAGTATGCACCAAGTAATCCTTTTCAAATTTTATTACAATATTATACTTAAACAAATCATCACCAAATCAATCTTATGAATAAACAAATCATCACCAAATCAAACTTATGAATGAACTAATCAATTTATTTTCACAATCTTATGGTTAAAGGAATCCTTATCAAACTTTTACACAAACTTGTGCTTAGATGAATCCTTACCAATTGTTTAAGACAATGTTAGGTCAATGATGACTTGGGAATTTTCAATTGATGTTCATTTACTTAAATCATCAATAAATAAGTAGTTTCCATAAATCCCAGAATAACTCAAGTATGTTTTCAAAAGCTAAGAAATTTGTACACACTATTTGTTTAATATGGACGAGCTATGTTTCAATTTTAATGATTTTCAAATGAGTCATTCCAGAGTTGAGTGACTGTAATAATCAACTACTAGGCAATGTTGTATATGACTTTTATAACTTAAGTCTGCCTTTATCCAATCACAGGAAATTTTATCAAAATGTCACAACTGATAAAAGTAAGCTTTATTTTGACGATATTCTGATAAAAGATAAAACTTACTTTTAAGTCATTTTATTTATAAGTGAAGAGACTTAATTATAAATTGTCATAAACTACATGTTTGTCTCATGATGACTCAAGTATGCTTTTACAAAAAGTTATATTTTTTTTAACAACTGTTTATTTTATTCAATCACATGTACTTAATCTACAAACAATGTCCACTCTTACTGATTTGTGGATGAGCGTATAAAATGCTCTAGACATATTTATTTGTGAACAAAATGTCCCTAATACTGCCATTGAACACAGTAATGCATTTCCTTATAGGATTATTTTTTAAATTGATTATATATGAATTTTTCTACAGAATAATATAAGCAGGTGAGCTATATATATATATATAGGGAGGCGCCTTGCTTCATTGAGACTGTAGTTTTCTGTTGCTATGCATATGAAAAATGTTCCCATTAAAATTTATCATCTAATGTTGGTTCTGAAATTTTTGCTTGCATATATCATTGGAAATGTGAGGTTAGTTATTGCAATTTTAGAAATTGTTGCATATAAATAATGCTTTCAAAATTGAAAATGTTTTTATTTTGCGAAACCTGTTCCTTTGCAATAATAAAAACATTGCAAAAATTTCTGAATTTACATAATGTAATTTAACATTGAAATACTGAATTTTTAATATTATAATTTGTTTTTGTTTACCTTTTTTATTTCTATTACCATACTATTAAATTTTTGAGGATATACTTTGTTTGATTGATTTTTTGACAAGATCATACTCTCTCTCTCTCTCTCTCTCTCTCTCTCTCTCTCTCTCTCTCTCTCTCGTTGACCAATGAATTGACCCATTTGATCTTGATCTCTTGATCTTAAAAGGAATAATTGATGTGTTTAGGTTTAGTAATTCATACTAAGGTTGAACCCAAACTTGGCAGAAGTCTTCATTGGAGTAATTGGTAAAGTACATGTTAAACTATTGAAATCTTACTACAAATTCTACAATTTGTTGCCCTACGAAGGACTTCGTAATGAATGCAACAACAAGAACATATCACAGTGCATCAACAAGTATCTAGTAATGACAAAGAAAAGGATAGATTTCGTAAATAAATATGCCACTACAACCATTTATGAATTATCTCGGGAACAAACAGTTTGTGTAGGATACACCATTTCCCGTTTTATCTGAACATCACGAATACGGGTATTTTTTTTTTAAATCAACACTGCATAAAAAGAAACATACACAGATATAGACATTTGATGAAATCAAAACTGCAGAAGAAAAAACTCTTAAATTGGAAAAAGAAGGGATATCAGTTAGAAGTAAAGGAGATTAAAATCCTATGAACAATAAGTAATTAATGTATCAAAAAGCACGTTTGTAGTGTTCATCATCTTGATAATTGCAGGAGATCTTTACCAATGAAATAAAGAGTACATATCTAACAACCAAGTCTTTTCTACCCATGATCACCATTCTTGTTCTGAATGTGGATGAATTATTTGCCACTGGACATTAAGCAAACAACATTCAAGAAGTCAGTCATATATGTTCGTTGATGGACATTGTTTTAGACCCTTCTTACAATTTCTAAGCTGATATTTGGTATGATACAGATAAGATTCTAGAACATTTACGTTCCAATTGGCTCTTTCTGCATTAGTAATTGTGACTCATTATTGTCAAGTTGTTTGCCATTTTTATTTTGGTAAAGAAATTAATTGTTTGAATCTGAGACCACTATAACACTGTGTAATGGTAGTCTCACATTAAATTCATTCGACAATTGACCATAAAGATATTAGCCTGTACTAGAACACGACAGCAAACATGAATTTTCTTACAGATATATCATTGTTAAAGTAATCAAGGGCCATAATTTAAAATCTGTACTGTAATAGTTAAAATCGTCAAGACCAATCTTGATCACCATTTTGTCTAGAGAAACAACAATGAACATGTAAAAAATTGAAAAGGATTCGATCAAACCTTCTTCAGTTATTGAACCAACATAAAAAAAAAAACAAATTTCCAATTGGTGAAGGACAATAACTCCTGAACGTCAAAATGGGAAATTGTCAAAATCGATTTTGACCCCAATTTAATCATAAGTAACAGCATATTTAAACGAGTTAGGGCTCAACAGTTCTCAAGTTAATCAACTGAAACAACTGGAGACGCCCAAACGTCTTCATTATGACACAGGTACAAGACTAGATTTTTTAAATATATGTGTGGTAGAGTGGAATTTAGTATATTTTTGTAATTGTAAATTTGTATATATTGATTTAATTTATTGGAACAAAATGATTTTCATACTATTGATATTATAAGTTACAAATTGAATGGTATTTAATTTGTTCAGTCTGAATACTGTTATACTGACCAGTTTACCTGTTTTTCTATGTTACCTTGATTTCTATATTTAGAATCTTAATTAAGGCTATATTTCTTTAATAAAGAATCCTTACAATAGTTAAGGTCTTAGGAATTAACAAAATAACAGTAGTCGCATATAAAGACCCTACAAAACACAATTATAAAATACTATAAATACTAGTGCAAAGAAAGTTAACTCTGACATGTTTATGAACAAGTACATTGCACTGTATAACATTCTAAGTAAAATAATATTGTCATTCTCTTTTACATCTATGTTTTCTGTCTCAAAGACTCAACTTAAACTTGTGTCTTACAGGTATTAGTTTATGTATCTCATAAACTTTACTGCGATAAATATTCTGTTACCATGTAAAAAATACATGAATTCATAAATATTAATAAATGAAGCAAAACAGCAAAGCATTAAAACATCTACATGCAGCAACTAAGCAAACAAAATAAGCAAATTATTAACTAAATTATAAAACTACATAATACAACTCTTTGCTTACCCCAAGTACTAATTTGAAGGTCACAAGACTGTGTACATCATATATGTATGGCTACATCAAATATTAACCTGAAGATAAATATGAATTTATAACTAATGTGTTCCATGTCTACAATATGACTTCATTATATGAACACACTGTAAACATACAAAAATTTGTTCTCTTAGATGATAAAACATAATAAATGTTTTAAAATGAATATTTAACTATTTAGCTACTTCTTATTTATACACAAGAAAACTCTTTCTTTCTGTTTTATATCATTTCACTCCATTATAATCTATTATTTAATATTTTAATCATTTATCGATCTTTAATGACTTTAAAGCATTTTATGGTTAATTAATTGTATTTATCATTCATAAAGGTCAGATTCACACTACAGATTCATTTATCCATTCAATCAATCAATCAAACCAAATCTTGCATACTCTGTTTAAAACTCTAAGACTATTCAAATAATGTGCGAAAAGTATATACAACTGACCTGTAAAGTAATAATTTAGATTCCCAAAGATTCAACAATAAGTACAGCAAAATATATCAAGCCAATTTACAAACTCCAGAATTATGAAATATAACTGCTCAATAAGACAGTTGAAATGAGAGTGTCCAGAACAATACAAATTTTCCCCCTAAAAGAACATTTGACCAAAATCACTATTCAAACAGATATATAGCCTTAATTAAGATTCTAAATATAGAAATCAAGGTAACATAGAAAAACAGGTAAACTGATCAGTATAACAGTATTCAGACTGAACAATTTAAATACCATTCAATTTGTAACTAATTATATCAATAGTATGAAAATCATTTTGTTCCAATAAATTTAATCAATATATACAAATTTACAATTACAAAAATATACTAAATTCCACTCTACCACATACTCCCCCCAGCCGGAAAATGATGTCTCGGCATTTCCTGCTAAGTAGAAGCATTAGTAGATGGCTTCAAAATGTCCAGAATGGTTCGACCTGCCTTTGTCTGTAGATCTTGGAATAAAGTTGTCTGGTCTGCAAAAGATTTCAGACACTGGATCTTCTTTTCCCAATCAGACATGGTGGTGATTGCAGACTTTGATTCCTCGTCAGATGTTGTATCCTCAAAGTAGTCATTCTTGGTGGTCGGTTCCTTCTGTTTTTGTCTCCCCTTGGCAGGTGTTGGTCTTTTTCGGGTTATCCTAGGAGCAGGTGTTGGTGTGTCACTTATAAATCCTATAGGTAGGAGTAAGTTCCTGTGGAGAGTTCTTATTCTACCTTCGCCATTCTCCTTCTTAATTGAAAACACTGGTATGTCGATGTTCGGTTGACTGATGACATGATAAGGGTAATGCTCCCATTTGTCAGCTAACTTGTGTTTCCCTTCTTCGAAGGCGACTCTCTTCACTAGTACTCTGTCTCCTGGTTTAATGGTACCACCTCTGACTTTCATGTTGTAAGCCTTCTTTTGTTTGGTCCTTGCGTCATCTGCTGCTGCAGTGGCTAAGTCGTGAGCTTGAGCTATCCTGTGTCGCAACTCCTTGATGTATTCCGAGCTTGGTTCCTTCTCGTTCTCTCTTTAGCCAAATACTACGTCAATTGGCAATCATGGATTTCTACCAAACATAAGCAGATAAGGTGTCTGTCCAGTGCTGTCATGACGTGTACAGTTGTAGGCGTGAACTAGTGGAGCGACATAATCCCTCCAAGAAGCTTTCTTGTCTGGTTCCAAGGATCCTTACATCTCTAATAGTGTCCTGTTGAAACGTTCACACATTCCATTGCCCATAGCATGGTAGCTGGTAGTTCTGGATTTTTTCATGCCAGTGGTGTTACACAATTCTTTGATCACTTTACTCTTCAAATTGGCTCCTTGGTCCGAGTGTATCCTCTCTGGTATCCCGTAGTGGAGAATAAAGTGATTAAAGAACGTTTTGGCCGTAGTCTTGGCTTACTGGTTTCTTGTTGGAATGGCCATGGCAAATCTGGTAAAATGATCTGTGATCACTAACAGGTGTTGATGACCTCCCTTGGATGGTTCCAGTGTCAAGACATCCATGCAGACTAGTTCTAACGGAGAACTAGTTGTGATGTTCACTAAAGGAGCTCGTTGAGTGGTAGGAGTCTTCCTTCTGATGCATCTACCACACTCTGAAATCCTAGTTACAATATCGCTGTACATTCCTGGCCAGTAGAAACGGTCCTTTATCAAAGATAAGGTCCTATCTTTACAAGGATGACCCATGTCGTTGTGGATAGCTTGGATTACAGTAGGTACATGTGTGATAGGCAATACTAACTGGTGTCTTTCTTCTTCATTTATAGATGTTGCTCGATGAAGTACTCCATCTATCAGCTTCAGGTGGTTATACTGCTTGAGTTAAGGGTTTGGTCCAACCTCTCTCAATGATGGTTTCTTGTTTTCTCTGATGTACTCAATGATACGGTGTATGTCAGGATCAAAATGCTGAACCTTTTCCCAGTCAATAAGGTTCCCGGTACCTGTTCCTCTTGGGTCATAATCATCTAATACTAACTCTGGGTTGAGCGTCAGGTTTTCAATGTGGGACCTCGAGACTGTGGAATTACAGATGGCTTGAACCGCTTTAATGCTAATAGGTAGACGGCTAAGAGCATCTGCATCTGCATTGTTTCGTCCTGGTCTATACTGTATGTCAAAGTTGAATGCTGCAAGTGCTGCCAACCAGCGATGTCCTGTTGCATCCAACTTTGCGGTGGTCAAAACATAGGTTACTGGATTGTTGTCAGTGAGAACTGTGAACTGTTGGCCGTAAAGATAGCCATGAACTTGTCGCAGATGGCCCACTTGAGTGCATGGAATTCCCTCTTATGTGGTGAGTATTTCTTCTCTGCATTGTTCAAACCACGACTAGCTGATGACACGCTTTAGGCCTCCCTGCTCCTGGTATAGAACTGCTCCAAGTGCTTCCCCAGATGCATCAGTGTGTATCTCGTATGGAAGCGAACTGTCTGCAAAACCAAGTACCGGTGCGGAAACAAGATTGTCCTTTAAGGTTTGAAACGCCTTATCCTGATCCTCATTCCACATCCAGTCCTTCTTACTCTTGACTTTTCCTTTTGTCTTCTTATGTGGTGTAGGAATAAGATCTGTCAATTGCCTGTAGTATCCTACGAAACCTAAAAATCTACGTACATCCTCTGGTGTTGTTGGTGTAGGCCAGTTGACTACACGGTCTGTCTTGTCCTGATCAATCTCTACTCCCTCTTCAGATACTACATGACCAATGTACTAAAACTTCCTTTTGAAAAAATCACACTTGCTTGGACTCAGCTTCAGGTTGGCCTCTCTGATACGTTGAAATACAAGCTGTAAATTTTCCAGGTGCTCTTCGAATGTCTTTCCAAAAATGATAATGTCGTCAATAAATATGCAACAGATCTTTAAGTTGTATTCAGCCAAGCAATCCTCCATCAGTCGTTGATATGTCGCTGGGGAGTTCGTCAACCCAAATGGCATCCGGTTAAACTCATAAAAACCTAACGGTCCTACAGAAAGGCAGTCCGTTTCTTGTGTTCTTCCAGGATTTCTACTTGGTGATATCCGTACTTCATGTCGACTACGGAGAAAAACTTGCTTCCCTGGCAGCAATTCAACAATTCCTCAATGCATGGAAGAGCATAACTATCCCGTTTAGTTTGAAGATTAAGCTGACGGTAATCCACACACATTCTTAATGCTCCTGATATCCTCTTGACGAGGACGACATTTGATGAAAAAGGTGATCGGGAAGGTCTTATAATCCCTATGTCCATAAGCTGATGTAAGTGTGACCTGACTTCGTCATACATGGATGCTGGTATTCTCCTATATGCCTGCTTGAATGGTCTCTGTTTGTATAAATCAATACGGTGTTTCACTCTGTCAGTGTGACCTATATCGTGATCTCTTTTGCTGAAGATGTCAGAATATCCGACAATCAACTGCTTACCTACCTGTAACTGTGTGTTGTTAGGGTCACTTTCAGTGATATCAACTTGCTCTAATAACCAATTACCATCATCTTTTTCTGGTTTGGGTTGTTTCTCAATGGTTACTGGTTGAATCTCGCATATAATGGACTTCGGAGGTATGGTGAAAGTCCTTGTGGTTGTATTCGACATTCTAACTGTTATCGTTCCATTCTGTTTGTATTCATACTGGTGTAATGGTGGTTCCATGTCGATGTCCTTGCATTCTGTAGATAACTCACTTGACTGTAAGATAGATGGTGTTGTACACTATGGAATTTCTCTATCATAATATCCTGTAACTTCCTTCATGGTATTTGGTTGGATGGTAATTCCCTGTTGACATCTTACAATGGCTAATCGGTTGTTATTCTTTGACAATTCTTTTTCTCTCATTGATATGCAACGAAATGTCATGTACCATGGAGTTTCCAATGCTGCGTTCTGTAAATATTTGGCTCCATGTTGTTCTTGAAGTTCCAATATAAGTTGATCTAAAATGTTGGTTCCTATTAATGCTGGTACATGTTGACTATAACGGTTATCTGGTACTACAAGTAAGATGTGCTTAATATTGATGTTGCTATTCCCTGGTGTCTTAATATTAACTTCTATGAATCCTGAGTATGGTAGTTGAGTTCCTCCAGCTGTCTCAATTTCCAAAATAGAGTCTAAATTCTTCAGAGGTGTTGACTGAGTAAGATGTTCCTGATAATACGATTCAGCTTTAGTTGATACTGTAGAAGCTGTATCCAATAATGCTGGTTATCTGTGTCCATTTATAAATATTTCAGCTTCAGTCGGTTTTCCAAATATACCTGGAGATGTAATGCTCTTCACAATGTTGTTCCTAACCATGGAACCATAATTCCTCCTACTCAAACCTAATACCGGCCCCTCTGTACAGGTTTCCTGACGTTTAAATCCTCGAGTGGTCAATTCTTACTCTACAACCTATCTGTATATGGCCTTCCTGTCCACTACGACGACAAACTATTGGATAATCATTCCTGCTTTGTTGTTGCTGAGGATATTGCTGTACAGAATCTTGTGTTTTTTGATTTTGCCAATTGTTGTTCTGTCCTTGATTTTGCCAATTGTTGTTCTGTCCTGAGGTTTGGTTCCAGCCTCTGCGGCCTCCCCTACCTAAACCTCTATACCTACCACTACCTCTATATGGTGTATGTTCCTGTTGACGTTGATCTCGTAGTTCTGTAAATTGATGAGTCAACTGTTGTACCATACCTTTCAATTCCTCATAATCATTTGTTTCAGGTGAAGTAGTAGTAGCTGCCTTAGCAGTGTTAGGCTTGGTGGACTTTTTCGGTTGATGGTCTTTCTCAATCTGTCTAAGTGAAACTCTGAGATGGTTGAAATCTTGAATGAAGTCATACTTATGGCCACTAACATCTTTCAATTCTTGTCTCAATCCAGTCCACAACATGGCATGAAGCATTATGTTCATCTCGTGATACTGAATAATACCCTTTTCAATTCCTTTTCCTAAAATATCTTGAAGTCGATTGCTCCAGGTAGTTACATCTTCATCTTCCTTTTGGCGGGCACTGTAAAATTCGGACAGAAGTTGTTCTTTATTGTCCACACTTCCATAAATGCTGTCTAAAATTTCCAATAAGTCATTGATTAGTTTATCCGATCCTTGGTACATTACCATACGTGCAGCTGATCGA